AATTAGTCCATAAAATTTATTTATTTATTTATTAAATATTACAAAGTTAAATGCGGAGTATTGTTTTTTTTTTTTTTGGGGGGGGGGGGGCTAATTAATGAGGTCATGTATTAATAAAATGGATGAGTTTTAATTTTTTCCTTAATATAATTAATAATAATAACAATCACCCTCATTTTCTTATTTAATTTTATATGGTGATATGTATATAATTGATTATTTGATTCTCTCTTATATACTGCGTACGGAGTATTATTTAGGCCGTACATTTGATTTTATATTATTTATTTATAATTTTTATATGTGTATGTGTACATTTATGTATATTTTTAAAAAACTAGATTAGCTACTTAAATTTTAAGAATGATTGTATTGTTCCAAAATGTTAAAAATTATAAGATGTTAATAAATTAATTAGCTTCCGTCAAAGTTAACGGTAAATTTAACGGAAGGACTCGATTAATATAGAGGAAATAGATTAAGGACTAAAATGATAAATTTAATAGTTCGAGGACCAAAATGATATGGTGATGATAGTTCAAGGACCATTTATGCATTTTACTCTTTTTTATAATACTCTCTCCGGTCCTAAATAAAGTTCGGTATTTGACTTCACACAAAGTAAGGAAATAAATTTGATTTTACTGTAGAGTACACTGTTGTGACACTGTTTGGCATTGTTTGGCATTGTTTTGCACTGTTTTGATGTAGATAATTTGCCAAATAAGAAAGGAAGAAGAAGTGTGAATTTTGAATCGGCCCAAAAAGGAAAATGTAATCTTTATTTAGGAGCAGAGGGAGTATATACTATGTATAACTTTTGATTTTGCTATCTCAATAATAAATAAGCAAAATAAGTGAAGTGCTTCTCCTCTTTGATTTGCCAAGACAGTTCCGGTAAAGTTAGTTTTTTGATTGATTTTACTGAATTTGCAAAAAATGACAATATTGTTGGTTTAATTTTCCATATTGTTTCTTCTTTATTTTAATGTGTTGATATAAAGTATTTTAAATTTTTTCATAATTCAATAGATTTGACCAATTCAACCAATACAATAACAAGTATTTCACTTTTTTCGGCTGATTCAATCAATTCCAGTGATTACAAAAAGCCACTATTTTACTTATGAAAGGAATTCATTAATTCATTTCATGAGTAATGTAAATATACATACTTATTGTATAAAATTAAAATGTGATATAAAATTGTAATTGTTAAAGGTATATTAATTAATATATAATCACCAAATAAACATTCTTCCATACACAACTTTTCATAAAAATTAATCTGCTTTTATATTTTTATATTATTTGGTGAAAATATAATTGTGATGTCTATTAGGATGACTATTTTATGCATCTTTTATGATCAATTGTCATTGTGCCTTAATATTTCTAAATAGTTGTCATCTAGAGGTAAAAATATTTACTTTGTAATGGAGCGTGATTCGAATAAATACGTGTTTAACTTAAAAGTGCGAAATTGTCACTTATAATTCGCTATACAACACCTTTAGATTCAACTATTGCATTTTTTATGGTTGCAAAAATGACCACTTATTCACGAATATATCAATGTTTTTAGTCTAATCTTTTCCGTTGTTGTCACTTTTAGAATCATTTGACTTCAGATCCCTAATTTCTCGCTTCATTCATATCACCATATACACTATGAAAATAGGTCAACTAACCACTAAACTTTTGGGTTTATACACTATTTTTTTTAATATCACGCTCATTATTGTAATAAAAATAAGTAAGGACGACACACCTTTTTTGATGGAATCTTGCCGAGTTTATTGATTATGGTCTTGTTTAGCAATCGACAGTTAGTTGTTCGCTATTAGCCGATTGTAACAACGAGTTGTCAATAGTTGGCCTTGTTAATTGTTTGAATAGGTTAGTTATATCAACTTGTTGTAAGCAACTGATCGGTAAAATTGTTGTTTAAAAATACTCCATAGCTTATAGAGTGCAAAATGACACTTATGACCATTAGTATATGATGGATAGTCTACCCGGGGGTATATATCCGAAGGGTTATTACGGAGAATAACTTAGAGAGAAGCCAGAGCAAGTAAGTAAAAGTAGAGAGAGAGTGTATTCAGTATGAATGCCGTTTTCAGCGCGGTTACAAATGAGGAAATGGGGTGCTATTTATAGTAGCAATAAATGCCGGGCAGGGACACGTGTCAAGCGCTCATTGGCCGAGGGGTCACCTCAACTGGTTGGCGCTGGCAGCCGCATGTGGCCGCATTTAATGCGGCTGTTGGATGGGACGTCTGTGCGGGGTACGGTGATCTGTACGCATGTGAGGCGGATATCTTGTCGAGTGAGATGCCTTCGGCTATAGAGCAGTAGCCGAGGGCTCCTCCAACCGATGGCACCCTGGTGCCGAGGGCTCACAATGCCGAGGGCTACTGTTTTCGCCGTTTTCTCCCAGTTTCTTAATTTGCTTGAGAAACCCGTTCTGTGAGAATTTGGAGCCTTCGGCCAGGGGGCCGAAGGCACCCCTGGCGCGTTGTGCGGACTGCTTGGTACTCCGGGCGCTGTGATTTGGGCCTGTTGGGCATGTTGGGCCTTCGCTGGAGTAGTAGGAGTCTGTGGACCGGGGGTTCCCGGGCCATATACTCCATCAGGAGTCCCTCACTCCTTTTGCCGAAAGGTACTTGAGGGAAAAGGAGTAATTTGTGCTTGCCCTTTGATGTTGTCCCGTCGTGATCTCTGAAGTTGGTGAGGAGTTGTTGCTTTTATGTCCCTGCCGAAGGCAGTCCCTCAGTTACCCACATGTCGGGACTTGAGGGCTTGCTTTGTTGTTTGTTGGAATTTCACAAATTTTGCAATTTAATGATTTTCCCGAGGGGGTCCTCCAGTCCCTCACTCCTTGAGGCACTTGTAAAGTGGTGAAAAGGAGTAAAGTAGTTACGGTGCTGTTGTGGGCCGAAAGCTGAAGGGGAGCCCCTCAATCCAGGGATCGAGGGCCTGCCAGATGAGGGCAGCAGTGAAGTTGTTACCGGGGGGTCCACTGTTTGTTGATTAGTTGGTGATGAAGATACCCGAGGGCTCCCATTACCTGGGTGCCATGGGTCATCCGTCAATGAGGCAACTCCCCGGGGGCTACCCGGTTTTGCAGTGCTGAGGGGGAATCCCCGAGGGGTGCCCTGACATGAAGTCCTGGGTTTCTGAAGGAGTGATCCCGAAGGCGTCTGTTATGTGCTGTTTGGGGCATAACCTGGGCACACTTCTGAGTGAGTGTACCCGGGGGCTACCCTTGATGAAGTGGAGTGAAGTGGAAAAACCCGGGGGCTTCCAGAATATAGCCGTTGGAAATATAGTCGTTGGAATATGTAACGACGGGATATAGCCGTTGGGGGGGTGGCACACGTGGCGTGTGATGGCTGGCTGTTCGCGGGCGGCGTCACCGGTTGGGTGAAACGACGGTGTGTAATGATGACGGTCCGTCCGGAGGCCCGGTTTCCGGGCCCAAGCCCGGATTCCAGCGCCTATAAATACCCCAAGGCCAGAGCCATTCCCGCTGTGCGAACTCAGTTGTCTTAGCGAAGCTCTGCCAAAAAATCTAGTGAGAGAAACTCAAGCCTTCGGTCCTAACTCAGCTTTCGAGGTCAGTGCTCCCTGCCTTTCTCCTTCTAGTATAGTTGTACATTGCGCCCTCGGGTTAGGAGATAGGATTCACTAAAAACCTTAGTTCCCCCGAACCCTCGAGCTAGAGTGTGAATGTCGTCCCAGAGTGATTCTCAAGATATCTCGAGGACGCCCTCGATGGAGGACGAAGGCATCTCCGACGTGGAGTCAAGCAGTGGTCAGCCCTCGGATGGTGGTGATGCAGCCCTCGCCACTGAGGTGCAGAAGGATCTGATGGCCGAGGCCGAGGCGGAGGAATTCGAGCGAACTGCCGAGGATGAAGAGTTGGCCCTCGCCGTCCAAGTTGCTGAAGAGGAGGAGGAAAAGGAGAGGGCGAAGGTCACTGTGGCCGTACTTCCCCCTCGGGGTGCTGGTGAGGCCAGTACTTCCCAGCCGCTGAATGCGGTTCCCATCCGGGTGGCCCCCGGGAAGAAGAAGGCCAAGGCAGCTGTCCCCAAGAAGAAGGTTATTGTTGCTGATCAGGGGAAACCCGTAGATATGCCGGAGGGGTATTCCTGGCTCAACATGGCTGCCTTGGAGATAAAGTCGAAGGCGGACAGGGCGGACCTCTACGTGACGCAGCTACATGTAGGGCCCTCGGCCGAGGTGGTCGAGCCGGGAGTTGACGATGTGCTCTCTCGGGCGCCTGAGGGGTGCATTGCAGTACACGTACTGTCGGTCTCCATGGGCCTTCGGTTCCCTCTGCACCCCTTCCTCCGGGAGTACCTGAGGTTCGTTGGCTTGGTGCCCTGCCAGCTGACACCTAATAGCCACTCCTATGTGGCGGGTTTTTTAAACCTCTGTAGGGACCGAGGGGTGACCCCCAGCCTGGACTTGTTCTTCCAGAGCTTCAATCTCTGTCGAGGGGGTCACGCGAATGCCGGGGGCTTCGCCAACCTGCAGCAGGTGGCCAGGTGGAAGCTGTTCACGGAGGCGCCTTCGTCCAACAAGGGCTGGAAGGAGCGCTGGTGCTATGTCAGGGTTGCTGAGAACCCCTTTCCGGCGGAACTTCGGGATCGCTTCCGTCGGCATCCGAAGGTTGGAAGCGCTGCCCTCGAAAAAGACGGCCTGGTGATAGCCAAAATCCCGGAGGGTCGCACAAAGCAGGTCTCCATCAAAGACTATACTGTCGACAAGGGATTCTACGCCCTCGGCTTTCGGAGATACCGGTTTATTGGGGAAGCGGACGAGAAGTACCCCATTTTTGCTGAGGCCTTCGGGGGAACAGGAGGTAGTCTACGAGGTCCCTCGGTTTTCATACCTTAGCACATAGTTTATCTTGTTCGTGTTTTTTTTTTCTTTTTATTCTTTGTGCCTTCGGTCAGTAACCCCTCGATTTTGACCCCATACTTTTTTTTTTGCAGGTGTCCCAGTGAAAATAATGAACGTCAGAGGCCTTGCAGACCTGAAGAAGAAAAAACCCTCCAAGGGCCCGAGGGGGACGGACGCCGGTGTCCCAAAACCCGCCGGTGACTTCTTCAAAAAACCGGAGGGGCCGTCGGTTGGCCCAAGTGCTGATGCTGCCGCTGCCGCCAAAAGGAAGGGCTCGGGCAGAGATCCCGAGGGCAAGAAGCCCAAGACGGGGGATGCCGGGAAGAAAGTCCCCCCGGTGATCATTGTTGATGAAGGCCCTGCCTCCGGGGCGAATGAGGACACGCAGGTGGCGAAGGTGCCGCCGGGAGTTCAGGGGCCATCTTCCGAGGTCCTCATGGTTTCCCTCCCGGCTGGTACGGCCGTGATGAACGGTATTGCCGACCCGAGGGCGCTTCTGAGGGGCATCACCCTCGAGATTGACAGAGTAGCCCTCGGGGCTGATGAAGACGAAGCCCTCGAGGACAGGATCCTCCGGTCTTCCCACACAGTAAGTCTTTTATGTTTATTTCTTTCTTTTCTACTTCGAGCTAAGAAACCATGTTTGGCCTCGCTCACCCCTCTGTTTTTGTAGACCTGCATTGCCCTCGGGGAGCAAGCCCGGCGGCTAGATGAGTGGCGCCTTCGCAAGGCCGAGCAGGAGGCCAAGATGCGGGAGCTCATCCGCCAGAATGCAGACGCTGTTCGACAGATGGCTATGCTGGAGGAGAGCCTTCGGCAGATGACCCTGCGGGCGGAGGCCACAGATCGGGGTAGGGCAGAAGCCGAGAGGTCCGCAGCTGAGGCCTTGGAGAGAGCTGTCAAGGAAGCCGAGGCCGCGAAGGTGGAAGCCGTCGAGAGAGCCCGAGGGGACGCAATCTCGGGGTTCCTGGCAGGGGGGTGGCGGTCCGAGGAGCACAAGCAATGACTGTCCTCGGTCGTCGAGTCCTCGGTCGACGAGTGGTGTGATGGGCCTGGCGTGGAGTGGGTTTCCCGAAAGGGTAAACAATACTATGATGGGGGCGAGTTTTTCACTCAAGCCCTCATCTACCGGAGGATGGCTCGCCACTTAAAGATCGAGCCAAAAGACTTTGACCCGGCAGCATACGGGCTCCCCCTGCAGCCAGACATCCGCGTTCCTCTTCCCCCCGATGTCGAGAGGCCAGACCTGGAGGACTCTGAGCTCATGAATGAAGCCGAGGGCGACGAACCTGAGGCCGACGCAGAAGTCACCTCGAAGCCATCGGGGGAGGCGGCCCTCGGGAATGACATGATTTGATATGTAGTTTGTATTATGTAAACATGTATTTGTAATGGTGACATTATCCTTCGGCTTCGGCCTGCTTGTAACATTTATTCGTATTACATTTGCCCTCTGTTTGTTGATGATTGAATGATTGCCTCCGAGCTGTGTTTATATGATTTGTTTTCTCCAATTCCTTTCTTCTTGAATGCATGCCTTCATTTTTGTTTTGGATGCATGTCTTTGCTCCTTTGAATGTATGTTTTAGGACTTAGAATATTATCTGATTGTAGCTAGCCCTTGGGAGCCTTCGGTAGTTGGGCATCCTCTGCTGGACATACGACCGAGGGTTCAGCAGGAATTGGGACTTAGAATTTTTTTCTAAGTGTAGCACAGCATGAGGCCTTCGGGCGTTTGTAGTAACCCAAATCCTAGGACTTAAAAAAATTTCTAAGTGTAGATTTCCCCTTGAGCCTTCGGGATATGGCATCCCTTCCTGATGTGTGAATGTTGGACCGAGAGCCCAATGCACAGGACTTAGAGATTTTTTGCAAGTGTAGTATGTCAGGTAGCCTTCGGCTAATGTGGAGCCCCAACTGAAATATTGAATAGGCCGGGGGCCAAGTCTTTAGGACTTAGAAAATTTTCTTGAGTGTTGATTCCTTGTGTACTGTAGCCCTCGATTGATAGGTAGCCTTCGGCAATTAGGTCCCTTGAGATGAGGGTGAAATATGTAGGACTTAGGAAATCTTCTAAGTGTAGAGTTTCCCTTGGGAGCCTTCGGGAGGTGGCATCCCTCCATGATGTATGAGTAGCTGACCGGGGGGAAAATATGCAGGACTTAGAAAAATATTCTAAGTGTAAAATCTCCCTTGGGAGCCTTCGGGAGATGGCATCCCTCCTTGATGTATGAGTAGTTGACCGGGAAAAGCATGTAGGACTTAGAAAATATTCTAAGTGTAAAATCTCCCTTGGGAGCCTTCGGGAGATGGCATCCCTCCTTGATGTATGAGTAGTTGACCGGGGAAAAGCATGTAGGACTTAGAAAATATTCTAAGTGTAAAATCTCCCTTGGGAGCCTTCGGGAGATGGCATCCCTTCTTGATGTATGGCCTTCGACTGTCATATTCCTCTAGCTGCAATACTGACTGAGCCGGGGGCCCATCTTCAGGACATAGAATTTTTTTTTTTGCAAGTGTTGTTGTATCGCATAGCCTTCGGCTATTGTATTCCCCTGGCTGTAATGTTGATTGAGCCGGGGGCCAAATTTTAGGACTTGGAATTTTTTCAAGTGTTGTTTCTTTGTGTAGCCTTCGGGTGATAGGTGCCATCCGACTCTGCATTACTTTGCGAGATGCCTGGGGGCTACTAATTTAGGACTTAGAATGTTTTCTAAGCGTAAATTGGTGTTGAGCTTCCGGATGTAGATCCCTTGTGTTGTATGAGTCTCTAGCCGAGGGCCAAATATGTGTGGAATCCTGTTGTTGTGAAGAATGCCAACGATGAAGCCTTGCTGAAGCCTTCGGTGCCTGTGTGACCGGAGGTGACCAGGCAGTGGACTTAGCCGTTTCCTGATGATATTTGTTTGAGTGGTATCCTTCGGGAAATAGGATCCTTCAATTACCGGAGGTGTCCCCGTGGGGAGCCCTCGGGATGTTGTGATCTGTTGGAGTGTACTCTTTGATTTCTCGCTGAGTCTACTCCCCTTCACCCCCCCCTTTTTTTTTTGGTTGGTGGTTGATGGATAGTCTACCCGGGGGTATATATCCGAAGGGTTATTACGGGGAATAACTTAGAGAGAAGCCAGAGCAAGTAAGTAAAAGTAGAGAGAGAGTGTATTCAGTATGAATGCCGTTTTCAGCGTGGTTACAAATGAGGAAATGGGGTGCTATTTATAGTAGCAATAAATGTCGGGCAGGGACACGTGTCAAGCGCTCATTGGCCGAGGGGTCACCTCAACTGGTTGGCGCTGGCAGCCGCATGTGGCCGCATTTAATGCGGCTGTTGGATGGGACGTCTGTGCGGGGTACGGTGATCTGTACGCATGTGAGGCAGATATCTTGTCGAGTGAGATGCCTTCGGCTATAGAGCAGTAGCCGAGGGCTCCTCCAACCGATGGCACCCTGGTGCCGAGGGCTCACAATGCCGAGGGCTACTGTTTTCGCCGTTTTCTCCCAGTTTCTTAATTTGCTTGAGAAACCCATTCTGTGAGAATTTGGAGCCTTCGGCCAGGGGGCCGAAGGCACCCCTGGCGCGTTGTGCGGACTGCTTGGTACTCTGGGCGCTGTGATTTGGGCCTGTTGGGCCTGTTGGGCCTTCGCTGGAGTAGTAGGAGTCTGTGGACCGGGGGTTCCCGGGCCATATACTCCATCAGGAGTCCCTCACTCCTTTTGCCGAAAGGTACTTGAGGGAAAAGGAGTAATTTGTGCTTGCCCTTTGATGTTGTCCCGTTGTGATCTCTGAAGTTGGTGAGGAGTTGTTGCTTTTATGTCCCTGCCGAAGGCAGTCCCTCAGTTACCCACATGTCGGGACTTGAGGGCTTGCTTTGTTGTTTGTTGGAATTTCACAAATTTTGCAATTTAATGATTTTCCCGAGGGGGTCCTCCAGTCCCTCACTCCTTGAGGCACTTGTAAAGTGGTGAAAAGGAGTAAAGTAGTTACGGTGCTGTTGTGGGCCGAAGGCTGACGCTTTTCGTTTCATTTTGGGGGGATGCCTCGTTAAAAACCTCATTAGGAAAAACCCTTTGGGAAAAAATCCTAATGAGGGAAAAAGAGTGCACCGAATTCCCCCAATGATGAATCGAAAATGTCAAACCTTGGTCAAAAATGGAGAATACGGTAATGCCGAAGGCTCTTCTTTTCCTGAGGGCTCATGTATTGATCAGCCGAAGGCTTGCTGTTGATATCCTGGAGGTGCCGAAGGGGAGCCCCTCAATCCGGGGATCGAGGGCCTGCTGGATGAGGGCAGTAATTTAACTGTCGCCGGGGGGTCCACTGTTTACTGATTAGTTGGTGATGAAGATACCTGAGGGCTCCCATTACCTGTGTGCCATGGGTTATCCGTCAATGAGGTAACTCCCCGGGGGCTATCCGGTTTTGCAGCGCTGAGGGGGAATCCCCGAGGGGTGCCCTGATATGAAGCCCTGAGTTTCTGAGGTAGTGATCCCGAAGGCGCCTGTTATGTGCTGTGTGGGGCACAACCCGGGGGCACTTCTGAGTGAGTGTACCCGGAGGCTATCCTTGATGAAGTGGAGTGAAGTGGAAAAAACCCGGGGGCTTCCAGAATATGGCCGTTGGAAATATAGCCGTTGGAATATGTAACGACGGGATATAGCCGTTGGGGGGGTGGCACACGTGGCGTGTGATGGCTGGCTGTTCGCGGGCGGCGTCACCGGTTGGGTGAAACGACGGTGTGTAATGATGACGGTCCGTCCGGAGGCCCGGTTTCCGGGCCCAAGCCCGGATTCCAGCGCCTATAAATACCCCAAGGCCAGAGCCATTCCCGCTGTGCGAACTCAGTTGTCTTAGCGAAGCTCTGCCAAAAAATCTAGTGAGAGAAACTCAAGCCTTCGGTCCTAACTCAGCTTTCGAGGTCAGTGCTCCCTGCCTTTCTCCTTCTAGTATAGCTGTACATTGCGCCCTCGGGTTAGGAGATAGAATTTACTAGAAACCTTAGTTCCCCCGAACCCTCGAGCTAGAGTTAGAATGTCGTCCCAGAGTGACTCTCAGGACATCTCGAGGACGCCCTCGATGGAGGACGAAGGCATCTCCGACGTGGAGTCCAGCAGCGGTCAGCCCTCGGATGGTGCTGATGCCGTCCTGGCCCGGGAGGTCCAGAAGGAACTCATTGCGGAGGTCGAAGCCGAGGGCTTCGAGCAGGAGTGCGAGGATGAAGACTTAGCCCTCGCATGGCAAACAGCGGAGGATGAGGCGCAGAATGAGAGCTCGAAGGTTACGATTGCTGTTCTCCCCCCTCGGGGTTCTGGGGAGGCCAGTAGCTCGAGGCCGCTGGATCCGATACCTCTGAGGGCGGTTTCCGGTTTGAAGAAGAAGAAGGCCGCTACCAAGAAGAAGGAGAGGGCCGTCGATCAAGGAAAGCCCGTGGACATGCCCGAGGGGTACAGTTGGCTGAACACTGAGGCCCTCGAGATCAGGTCGAAGGCTGATAGGGCAGATCTGTACGTGACTCAGCTGCACGTGGGGCCCTCGGCCGAAGTGGTGGAGCCAGGTCCCGACGACGTGTTGTCCAGGGCGCCCGAGGGGTGTATCGCTATTCACGTCCTCTCGGTTTCCATGGGACTTAGGTTCCCTCTGCACCCGTTCCTCTGGGAGTATTTGAGGTTTGTTGGTTTGGTCCCCTGCCAACTCACGCCCAACAGCCACTCCTACATTGCGGGGTTCCTCCAGCTCTGCAAGTCTCGAGGGGTGAAGCCCAGCCTGGATCTATTCTTCCAGAGCTTTAATTTGTGCCGGGGGGGGGGGGGGGGGGGGGGGCACGAAAACGGCGAGGGGTACGCAAACCTGCAGCAGATTGCCCGCTTCAAGCTATTCTCCGATGCTCCTTCTTCCAACAAAGGATGGAGGGAACGTTGGTGCTACGTAAAGCTGGGTGAGAGCCCATTCCCGAGGGAGCTGCGTGATCGATTCCGAAGGCACGAAAGAATCAGGAGTGCTGCTCTCGAGAAAGACGGCCTAAAGCTGGCTAAGTTCCTGGAGGGGAAAAACAAGAACGTGGCGATCAAAGACTGCACCCTCGAGGAGGATTTATACACCCTCGGGTTCCGGAGGTACCGCTTCATAGGGGAGACCGATGAGAAGTACCCTCCCTTCAACAAGGCCTTCGGAGGAGCCGGAGGTAGGAGCCGAGGGCTTTAGAATTCTGTACTTAGTTTTCTTTTTGCCCGGATGTCATTGTCCCTTTGCTTAGACCCGTCGGCCTAACCCTTTGTCATATTTTTTGCAGGTATCCCCGTCTCCATGGTGAACGTGAAGGGCCTCGCTCGCCTGAAGAAACAGGACCCGAAGGGG